CGAATGTCACCTGACCAAAAGTTCATTTGCTTTTTCTTCTCCATGAAAATATTTCCCCAACATCCCTCATTTGTACGTTACCTAGACACACTATAAATGAGTCAAGATGCACACGTAGAAAGTTTCCCAGAGAAATCACCCATTTGATTCTAGCAACGTCAAGACTCAACACCAGTACTGATCACAGGGGAGGGGGACGTTCAGGTCGATTTTACCACTGCGAAATCAGGGTCTTCCAAGTCCTAGATGCTTCGCCCCAGGCCACGCGACGAGTTACCAGCCCACACAGGACAAGCACCGAGGTGTCTGACACCTTGGCCGTATGATGAGCTCACAGCATTTTAAACCATCCATGGCCTGAGTCCTTGGTCTAATATCAAATGCAGAACGTCACTGGGAGCACCGTGGGCCTCCCTGGTGTAAAGTGAGGGTTCAAGCGCAGCACTAGGAAGCTATCAATAGCCACTGCAGCCTAAGTTCGATTCCCGGCCCCGGAGGGGACCCCAAGGGCGCGGCAGACCCCTCCTGTCTCCCTTGCTCCCTCAGCAGTGGGTGGGTTTCATCCATCTGCCTGTTCTGCCTCCCACTCTGTCTCTGGTGAATTCTCTCACCACCCTGCACCTCTGGCCTGTACCCCAGTTCTGTGTGCATGAATAAAATAAATCGTCAAAGAAATAAAATAAAATAAGCCTTTGGGGGGGAAAAAAAAATCAGGGTCCTCCCTGGTGGCGCAGCGGGTTAAAGCACAGCACTAAGAAGCTAAAGCCACTTCCGCGTGAGTTTGATGCCCACCCCAGAGGTGACCACAGGGCGCGGCAGCCCTCTCCAGACCCGCCTGCTGCTCCCCTCAGCAGTGTGCTTGTCAGTCTGCCTGTCCTGCTCCCCGCTCTGTCTCTGGTGAAGCCTCACCGCCCCTGCACCTCTGGCCTGTACCCCAGTATGCAGAAATAAATATAAAAAAAAAAATCAACGCATCCCCGGAAAGCACGTTTTAGAGAAAGGCAAGTCCCTGACAGGGCGCTGGCAGGGCGGACTACCCCCCAAAACATATTCGTGGGTGAGCGGCTGAAGCCGGGCCCCAGGCAAAGGGCGCTGGGCGGTAAATGACACGCTCTAAGCCGCTTTCTCTGTTTCACTTTCACCGTCAGCCGAGAGCAGTTTCCAAGTGTGAAATCGCCTGAGAAAGGAAGCAAAGGTGTCATTTGACATCTGGGAGCGTGGCGACTGGGCTGCACGAGAAAGCATGCGGGCGTCTTCCATTTACACACATATTCACCTGCAAAGCCTGCCGTGGGGAGCAGGAGTATTCAATGAGGAACATTTCAAGCATTTCTGAAGGCTCACAATGGAGTGGAACCCAAGGTGAAGGACACGCTGGTCAGATCCCGGATGGACTTGTTCAGACGAGAATGGGAAACTTGAGTGAGCTATTAGCATAACAACAGGCACGTAAACAGTTTTACTCACTCGTCTCAGAGAGCATATTAAACTCCCAAATATGATCCTTTGTGTGTTACACGCTTAATATTACAGGTCCTATTCCCCAGCTCCTCTTTTATGAGAGTCAAGCATGCTTAAGGGAAAAAAAGCCGGTGAGCAAAAAAAAAAGCTTTGACAATTTTTCCTTTATATTTAAAATGCTGGTTAAAAAAAAAAAAAAAAAAAATTAACACTTGCAATAGTTCCACTGATAAAACACACAAAATCCTTCACACGTGTGTTCACGTGTGTGCGTGGGTAGGTGCAAATATAAGAAAAATCAGGGTAACTGCACGGCCTCTGGAGAAGAGCTCACCCACTCCAGCTTTTTCTCTGGAATCCCTCAGCACCAGAACAGGCTCTCGTAAAGCCCTCAGAGCCTGAGGCACGGACCCCCGAGTCCAGACCCCGGAGCCCAGACCCCGGAGCCCGGAGCCCGGAGCCCAGATCCCAGACCCCGGAGCCTGGACCCCGGAACCCAGATCCCAGACCCCGGAGCCCGGACCCCGGAACCCAGATCCCAGACCCCGGAGCCCGGACCCCGGAACCCAGATCCCAGACCCCGGAGCCTGGACCCCGGAACCCAGATCCCAGACCCCGGAGCCCGGACCCCGGAACCCAGATCCCAGACCCCGGAGCCCGGACCCCGGAACCCAGATCCCAGACCCCGGAGCCTGGACCCCGGAACCCAGATCCCAGACCCCGGAGCCCAGACCCCGGCCACACCACGCTTCTGGCTCACGTTCCTCAGCGGCTGCTACCCGGGGACCGTTTCTCAGCGCTTTCTCTTCCTGCGCTCCACTCTGGGCATCGCTGCGCGACTCCTTCGCTGCGAAATCTGTTTATTTTCTCTAAAGTCCTTCTGGAGCAGCATCCCCGATACCTACGCGCACAAAGAAGCCTCAGGGAGGTTCCCGCGCGGAGACAGCGCGGGGCTCATCAGCGAATTCATATTCTCAAGGCCTCTTGACGGGCCCACAGCTGCACACATTTATTTCCTGGCTTTTTCACAGATGGAGACGAGAGAAAAGCGCCACGGTTTTTTTGTCTTTCTGTGGTTGGGTCTGTTTGCTGTAACGTGAGAGAGTGGCAACTTCAGAAACAAGTTCACTCTGCCGTAGAAGCTTGGGGCGCCCGGCCCGCCTGGCCGGGGCTCGCGGTCGAGATCGCTGTGGCTGCCGGAGGTCTGAGACGGCAAAGTTGGCAGAAACCAGCCTTGAGGAACAGAAGGTGATCATTTGCATTTCAAAATTTATCTATCTTGTTTTCCTCTCAATTAGACCAAAACATGTTGATTCACAGGTTTCTGTGTGTGTTTTTTCTTTTCGAAACTTATTTATAGAGCAGAATAATGGACTCCCTGCTAGTCTGGCATTTGCTCAAGTTTCTGTCCGTGTAAATCGAATCTGTTGCTGGAAATTTTTTCTCCAGATATCAAGGCATATCATCCACAAGATGAAAGAACACGCTGGTTTTCGAAAGCACGGGGCGGGGGGTGGGAGGGTGGTGTTTTGGGGACAAACACGTGACAAGGGTCCCCCGAGGGCGGCCGGCAGGGTCGAGGCCGCGGGCTGTTCCGGCCAGTGACCGCCCTGGCCGGCACCTGAGGCCCTTCACCCTCTCGCCAAACAGCTCAGCGGCTCGGAGCGGCGAGCGGTAACGCCAAGGTGAGCGGTGGAAGGGGGGCGGCAGGGTGCGTCAGGAGAGCGGCCTCCACCCGCAGCCCCAGCCTCGGGACTGTGGCCCCGGCCCGAGCCAACGCGCTGACCACCTGCAGTGGCCACAGCCCCCCGACCCCGACAGGGGGAGAAGGCCTCTGGTCTTTACCAACATCACTGCAGTTGAGTTCTGGGATAAACAGGAAGGAACACACCCGTGCCCGGTTCCCGGCATTTTGAACAGGGGTGGGAGCCGAACGCTAGGTGTACCCCGATACCCCGACACAGGCAGGCTCGAGCGCTCCTGCCCGTGAGGCCGTGGCTGGGCACGGAGCGGCCGCTGACAGGCCACGTTAGCAGGCCCGAGAAGGAAGAGGCCGCCGGGGGGGTTCCAGGCCTGCCCTCAGGCCAGGACACTGGGGCTCTCACAGAGCCTGCAGGGAAAATTCTTTCACGCAAATAATTAAAACAAAGCCCTTCTTCAGGCTGCAGCTTTTTTCAAACGTTAGCAGAGGACAACCTGGTCGGTGACAGCAAAATCCATTAATGGCAGACTGCCACCTCCTGGTGGACACGGGGAACTGCGGTTTCCGGGAGCGGGCTGAAGAAATGAGAACCTGGAAACTTCCCTGGGAAACTCTGTATTTCACTGGGGCAAGCCGGCCCCAACCGCTTCAGTGCGAGTTCGATCCCCGCCCCGGAGGGGACCCCCAGGGCGCAGCAGACCCCTCCTGTCTCCCCGCGGCCCCCCTCAGCAGTGGACTTCGTCCATCGGCCTGTTCTGCTCCCCACTCTGTCTCTGGGGAATCCTCTCACCGCCCCTGAGCCTCTGGCCTGTACCCCAGCTCTGTGTGCATCAATAAATCTTAAAAAGAAAGAAAGAAATTCCGTATTTCAGCCCATAAAACCGGATGTGTGTCTCTGCTGATGGATGCAGTGTGTGCTTCTTTGCCCACACATACTAAAACACTCAGGATCGCACCGTGCTAAGGACTGTCGGAAGAAACAACTTAAAATAGGCTGCTGAATCCCACAGGCCTACAGACAGTTTTCGTAGAGAAAGTGGCAACGAAACCAGCAAACCAGTCCGTCATAAAGACTAAACAAAGCCCCCGCAAACACGTGGTTTTGATGAGAAGTTTACAGTGTATTTCTTTCAGAGGTTGGCAGGTCTGATTTAAAAAGAACCCCGATGTTTAGTTTTGATGCTAACGCCTCCAAATTCACTGCAACTAGCATCCACTCATGTCCACTGATACCTAAAATGTTACTCACAAAATAGAAAGGGGGATGATGAAAAATAATCAGCGAACCCTAATAAAATGACCAACTGTGAAACTTGTTAGCCCATTAACTAAGTCATGCTGAGGAGGCTTCAAAACACAGCCTACGGGCCCTCCCCGGTGGCGCAGCGGGTCGGGACGCGGACGCTTCAGCGCGAGTTCGATCCCTGGTCCCGGAGGGGACCCCCAGGGCGCGGCGGTCAACCCCACCCCCGTCTCCCCGCTGCTCCGCTCAGCAGTGGACCTCGTCCACCTGCCTGTTCTGCTCTCCGCTTTGTCTCTGGTGAAACCGCCCCCGCACCTCTGGCCCGTACCCCAGTTCTGTGTGCATCGTAAGTTTTTTTTTTTAAAGCCAGCGTAATGTGAGCGAAACAAAGCCACGTAAGTGTGCTCTCCTGCCCCCAGGAAGAAATGAAATCAGTCACATTTGAGGGGGAGGAGGGGGAAAAGACGAAAAAGTAAGGAGAAATTCACCCCCAAGAGCCATCCCCAGCGGGGCGCTCGGGACACCCAGGGGCCCCCCAGACACCGCCAAGCGCAGCCCGAGCCGGCGTGGCGGGGGGTTATGTCCCGGCCGCACCCCCTGCACCCCCCCGCGCCCCCCCCCAGGGGGGCAGTGGCCTCCGGGGCCAGGAGCCGGCTGACCTGGAGCACAGTACATCCGCTCCACCGCCGCGGAGTCACAGGAATCTTCCACCTCGCTCCACCTGCTAAAATACGTCAGCTGGATGTGTCCTGCAAACAAAACGACAGGAAAAATCAAAACATTTTTCTCTTCCATTTTCTGCAGAAGTGAACTGTAATTACTCCTTTTGTAGCTAAAAACAGTATCATTAAGAATAATGGCATCATTAAGTACTAGAAGCTATTACTGGGGTGAAATGTGCCTCACTGATAATGAAGCTCTAGACAGGAAATGAAGATACTAATTACAAGATAAAACGCCTACTCAGTTAATTGGAAGCAACAGCGAATAAAAAGAAATGCATTTGCACAAGTCTCTGACCTCTGTCATTCAGGAGGATGTTGTCGGGGTTCAAGTCGCGGCACACGATCCCCTCTCTGTGCAAGGCGTCGAGGGCCACCACCAGCTCAGCTGCCCACCTCTGGACGCAGTCCTCCGGCACGGAGAGCCGGGAGCTGAGCGCCAGCTTTCTGTCGAGGTCCTCAAAGACCCGACGGACGTCCG